AATGGAGATGGCCAAGTTTCTCTGCGCGAATTATTGGCAACTTGTTTCCACTTTGCCTCCAAAGAGCACATCGACTCCATGCTGCAACTGGCAAAGGTGGGAAGTGTTCGTGCATTTCTCTTGGGTGAGGATAATGAGGACGATGACGGAAAATCCTCGTCATCACCATTTGCTGGTGCTGCAGACAAGCTCGAACCAAAGCACAGAAGCGAATTAATGGCCATTTTCCGAGTGTTCGATCACAACGGTGATGGTGGCGTGAGTATGCAGGAAATCATGGAGGCACTACGGGTCGACGACGACGACGTGATGGCGGCCGTCATGACCAAAGAGCGTGAGAAAGCAGGCAACCGAATTACGGAACCCGTGGTGTCGAGCGGACTCACGCGTGAGGACGTGGAGTTAATCTACAGCGAATTCGATCGCGACAAGGACGCAACGTTGGACTTTGACGAGTTCGTCGCTGTCATGGCGAACCTCTACGCGCACAAACCGAGCCTGCTTCGATAGCTCACCGACAGTGGCCAATGTAATGATATCCATTCAAATTGAACCAAGTAACTACTGTGGTTTGTTGCACAGACAAGTGGAATCGATTTTACCAGCTGAAACCCGAGTCATCACCGAACAGCGAAGTTGAGCCACGCGATCAAATTACTGCTTCGCGACACGTTGGTTGGAATGCACTATGGTACATTAGTGCGACAGTATCTGGCGACAGCGGTTTGCGGTTGGATAGGATAATACAGTTCACACGTTTGGTTAGCTGGTGGATTCTCGGATCATGTTGCAAGGCGAGGAAGCGATGGCAAACAAGGCCAACGAATAAAAAGTTCAAGTCGGTCCGCCCCTGTTGCATTAATGGAAAGCCTTCATGAAAGATGGCGCCGTTAACTGCATCGTGCTGTCGAATGACAAGTTCGTCTCAGGAAAACCAGCACACGACGTCCAGTTCCTGTTGCCATTATTAACGCTGATGTCGCAGTTGAGCTACGAAACCATTATCCAAGGTAACGCAAGGAGGAGTACCTGGAGCTCGAAGCAACCACTTCCTTTCGTACGGCAACGTCGTGGTAAAGTGATAATAACGCAATTCGGTGAGTTGTAGGCGGACGTTGTTGTTGCCTTGTGGCATCATTGTGCCCCCTGACTCAAATGCCAAACGCGAAAACAGACTTCTGCAAAAGGTTGTCTGCCCTTTTGTGGATCAATTGGTCTCTTGGGGTGGTGAAAACTGTGGGGGCCACACGCCTTGAGGCTCTCTCGCCATCCGAACGTACGATTCCAGGCTGAATCGCTTTGTCATTTCGCACACGTATTATTTTGTTTTGAAACACCTTTATTACTTCGGAGTATACAGAATTTCCATAATTAAATTGCATGTCCGGTGTGACAAAAGTGCATTTTACCATCCTCAAGATGTTCGAGGCAAAGCCCAAGCACACAGCGATCGTAAAACTCCGGGTCCGATCCTGTTGATCCCCTCTCGATTTGCCATCGATCCCTTCAGCAATACTGAGCTGTAGTATGAACAGCCGATGTTAGTTTTCGGACAAAAAAGCGCAAGTGCGCGAGACACCCTGGTGTGCCACGGCTGTGCGCTTGTCGACCCCATTCTCCATCTTGCCGACAGAAACGCAGGAGAACTCCACCGTCACCTTGGTGACGGTATCGAAATTCCAGGCATGAGCCACCGATTCCCAATTCAGGAGGCGGTGTTCCCACCGCTGCAACTATCTGAGTCTGCCAAGGACAAATTCATCAACACAGCGTTGATGCAACTCACAAGAGCGTTGCGCGATTACGATAAGTACCAAAAGTGGCAGGCATCTCGACCCCCGAGTCTTCGGTACCAGCTTCATCCGGCCATGTGGAAACCTATTAAGACGTGCGAACAGCTCACAGTTTACCGTCGAGTACCTGCGGATGACGCAGTAGTCACGGCACCGACAGGGGGATCAAGGAGACGAGCACGTAGTAGAACACTTGAAGCGATGAGACTGGCTGCAGCTACAGGTGTGGACTCAGTGTCTTCAGCTCCAAAGGAATCCGTCACAGATTCGTCATGGCCTGGAATTCCGACTCGAGGGTCAGGACCAACGACTAACTGTGAGTGGAGCATGCCAACGCTTCT